GTGGTACCTTCAAATTTCTGGTGTCTCTGCAAGGGCTACTAGGGGAAGGTGTGGGCCAGCAACAGTATTCAGAGCCTTTCTGGGGGTGCAGGGGCAGTGTCCATCCATTGTGTTGTGTTGAGAATGGGCTCAAGAGGCTCTTGGCTGAGCCCAGCTCCCAGAGGGAAATTGTCCAGCCCCTGCTCCCCTGGGAAAGTTCCCAGCTCTGAATCAACATCCCCTAATACCCTCTGCACAGCCCCCAGGAATCTGCAGCTGCCACCTCTGCTTTAATCTGTAGTCGTTGACGTGTTGTGTTCACAACAGGCTGGAGCAGCTCTCTCTGCTGCTGGTGAAGAGAAGTTGTGGATTTTGGCTGTTTTGGGTTAAATCCACACTAAAGACAGGAGCATCTGATGGCTGGTGAGAACTGTGCCTCATGAACTGCTGCTGTACCAAGCACTTCCCTGAACACACAGCAGTCCTGTCAGGGGGACTGCCCTGGCATGGGCAATGAAACCTGCTCGTAAATGCATTTTGTAAGGGGAAGACTGGAATGGAAATGCTCGTGCTGATGTTCTATCTATTATGTATGTGTCCTGTATTGGAGACATCAGGGGCTGGGTGTTATTCTCTGCCCTGTGCTTGCCCACATGTATCTTTCATTCCTTTTCTTCCCTCTCCCCCTTCTCAGCTCTCAAAGGTGCTGGATTCTTATTTCTGTATTGGACTGAAACTGTTTGCCTGGTCCCTGTGCAGCAGCTCTGTCCAGAAAACCAATTAGCAAATGGAAGAACTCCCACTTTGAATGAGCTGTGGATGCTCAGGCAGATTCCCATACTTCTATTCTGAGCAGCCAGCTGCTGTGTATGGGCTGACTGTAAGGGGGAGGGACCTGGGAGTCCTGGTGGACAACAGGTTAGCCACAAGCCAGCAGCATGTTCATACAGGCAAGGCCAATGGTCTCCTGGGGTGCATTCAGAAGAGTGTGGCCAGCAGGTTGAGGGAGGTTTTCCCCTCCTCTGCTCTGCCCCAGGGAGGCCACATCTGGCGGACTGGGTCCAGTTCCGG